ACTAACCAACACTAACTAACTAACTAACTTACTTACTTACTTACTTAACTTAACTAACTAACTAACTAACTAACTAACTAACTAAATTAACTCGGTAACGGACGAACAAACGAAGGGCGGAAGCAACTGAACGAAGGAAGGAAGGAAGGAAGGAAGGAAGGAAGGAAGGAAGGAAGGAAGGAAGGAAGGAAGCAACAACGAAAGGAAGGAAGGAAGGGAGGAATTAACGAGCTAACGAACTAACCAACTGACTCACCAACTCACCACCTCGCTAACTCATCACTAACTAGCTAACCAACTAACCAAAGAACCAACTTAACCATCTAACCAACTAATCAACTAACCAACTAACTAACCAACCAACTAGCTAGCTACCTAAATAATTAATTATCTAACTATCTAGATAGATAGATAGATAGATAAATAGATAGAGAGAACGGCAGAAGACAACACTTGTGCAGACTATCTCAGTCAGTCAGTCAGTCAGTCCGGCAGGCAGGCAGGGGCAGGAGGCAGGCAGGCAGGCAGGCAGGCAGGCGAGTAGGTGGGTACGCAAGAATTCATGCCCAATTGAAGCGCATTACCTGGGTCGATAGACAAATGGGCAGAAAGACTGGAAAGCTCCCTTCATCATGATTTTGCTAGCATCTCGGTGGCTTCCGAAACCGACCCAAAGCACCGAGCCCAGATTCGATGGTTTCGAGAAGACCCCAGGGCCGTGAAGGTTCGATTTACATCGATTCTGAATGCAAGCATAAGTACGCATGAATGCATGGAGTAAGCTGCCACCAATGCGGAGCATGTCCCGTGCCATCCTTGATGAAGGCACTTCCTTCACCCTTGGACATTACAGAATCCTGCAGCTTACCAGGGCGAGCCAATGCCGGACGACTTGAATGCATCTATCGTCAAGCTCTCTCAAGCTGTCAAAGACCTCAAGAAGGCAGAGTGAGCAGGAGCCCTTTGCACTTTCGATGATCGACCAAGTGCGTTTAAGAAGGGTTTTAAGCGCTTTGGGTTGCTGGACGAGGCCCAGGGGCACGAGTCGGGTGCGAGTAGCTGGACTCTGCAAACTCTCTGCCTCTGCCTCCTCTGCCTCTCTCTCTCTCTCTCTCTCTTTTTCCGTGGTCAAGCTTGTATAAGTGCAGGTTGGAACAGCAGCCTAAATGCCACCACAAACACGACAGCCAGATTCTGTTCCCAATGCAAGGAGCTGAGGAGCTGAAGCAGAGTACTTTCTCTGAGATTTCTTCCCATTGAAACCTTCACTGAATGTGAATGTATGTCTCGCTGTTTGGTATTTCTTCGGGAGGTTCATTGAACATTCAGAGGCCGTGCCGATTGAGTGAGACATACGCACGGAGATGTACGCCTTGTAGGGATGTTGGCTCCTGACGAAGGTTAGACGCCTTCCCTTTCTCTTCTTGACATGAGAATGCAGAAGTCGTACAAGAGTGTCTCGCCAGACTTTAGACTCCGTTTTTCATGAAAAATGAATGTGACACCACAGGATATCAGTACCCCCCCTCATACTGCCGAGCTAGCCCATCTGACGCTGAGACCGCGTAATTTGTCCGTGTTCTTTTGCTCTTGATGTCGATCAACGAGCATGCCTGCTAAAGACAGCAAACTGATTTCTAGCCACTAGCTCGTTTTGGTCAAGCTAATCCTCAATGTGGGTCCGTGCAGAGTTGATGTACACTGTGCCACATCGTCATTCTGAGCAGCTGATTTTGCAAGCAGTGCGCCCACAGCCCGGCAATCCACCGGGAGTATGAAGGAAGACGCTGTTTGCGACTAGCGAAGCGAATAATCAGCGTAAATCAGATGCCATCATATGGAGAATGTCCATATGTCTGTGTTCGTTTGTGAGCATGTGTATGTATCTTCCTGGAAAGATACACATGTGTACATTGCATGTGGCCTGGAACGCATACCATGCAATCTACATGTAAGTGTGTGCTTGAAATTCTGCCAGTGGAAGCCAGTGCGATGCAAATAACATGGGCATTGTGCTGAGTCCTGAGTAGCACCTGCTTTTCATTAAATGTGAAATTTTCACAGCATCACACGAGATTGTGCAATATATTGTAGCCCAGGTGCTGCAGCAGGGTGTCATGTAGCACCTCTTTAAATACAGATTCCAACAGCGTAGCATAGTGTCGCAACGTCGTTTGCCAACAGCTTCGCATGATGTCGATGAGTGCAGTTGGCAAGGAGTAATCCTGGTAATATTGCCTACTTGAAGGGCGCATGTCCCTAGACTCTGAACTCTAAAGCTAAAATGTTTCTCCAAAATACAGCCGGGAGCCAGCAGAGATCTGCAGTCCTGCCAATGACCACTGGATTTCGAAGCCTGAGGCTTCAAGCCTCGTCGAAGATGGTGTGATGCGTATTGACAACAGGGTATGAGGGGCCGATAATGAATTAGCACAAGGTTCCTTTAAGGGCTCTTACAATTGGGGGGGGGAAATTTGAAGGTCATCGCTTTATGGGCCTGACATTTCCAAATGCAGGGCTTCGGGTTCAAGGTCTTGTGGTTTGGGGCATAGTGTTGGGTTGGAGTCCAAGTTCAAGTTCATCCCGAAGACTCATCTGAGATCTTCGACAGGCAGCGAGACCGGTGTGACCTTGGCACCTTTAGCAGGGGTTGTAGGATGAAGTGGTTTAAATCGCAGAGTGAGCTAGCTTTCGCAGCTCTCAAGCCCAAATGTGCTAGAAGCCATACAGGTTCTGAATGCAGGACTCACATACCTCCACAGAAATCGGGATAGCGCACATGTGATCATAGTAGTGCGTGTAACAGTAGTGTTGGTAGTAAAGGTAGTCATAGTTATTAGTAGCAACAGGGAGAGGTGGGCTAATGCTCACACTCACCCTGGAGGTTTGGCCCCACGCCGCACCTCAGCAGATAAACCCTACACCCGTGCCCAAAACTCTAAGCCATAAGCCCCTTAACTCCGAAGGCTGAACCTTAGAAGCCCTGAATGCGAAACCCGGCAAAGCAGCCTGTGTCTCCTGCAACCCCCTCGTGCCCTCGAGCGAGAGAGACCGTCCAATGGCCCGGCCTTTGCGCTCCGGCGATCTGTGAAAGACTCTCGGGGTTCAAACTTTAGGATCAACGGTTTCGGGCTTGGGGTGTAAAGTGTAGGAGTTCGGGAGTTTGGGGGTTTTGGGGTTTAGTGATCGTGGCGTACTCGCAGGTTTGTCTTGCTGGTTTGAACGGCACTATCGCAAAGGCCACGCTGCGAGCAGGAATTCATGGTCCTAGTCAATTCTACGCGACCTCTGCACTTAGGAAGTGGGAATCCGACATGATTTAATCTTGCATACTATAGCATACTATACTTTGAACTCTGGAGTGGTTTGTCGTTGTGATGGACACCTGGCTTCTGTTGGGCAGATCCGAAATCTATGGACGCGCCATCGAAACCACCGTCAGGTTTTGCGTGCATACCCTGGCTGTTGCCATGTCAGGCTGCCAATGCTGGAAGCCGCGCTGAGCCGCCCCTGACTGGCGTGAATAAAGAGCTCAATGAGGGTTTTAGGATTTACAGGAAAGCCGCTTGCCTCAACTTGGCATATGTTGACAAAAACATGCTACACGAGAATGGCAAATTGTGGCAGCTGATGCAGTTGTGTGGAGACGTTGACACCAAATTGCCCACAGTAATGTTCAGCATTCACTCTAAAAAGTAGTCCAGCGTACCTTCTCTGCACGATAGTATCATATCATGAGGTACAAGTGTGTTCAGTTATCATCTCCGTGTGAGCGTGCGTGCGTGCGTGCGTGCGTGTGTGTGTGTGTGTGTGTTAGTTAGAGTGTAACTTAGTATAGCAGTTTCAGAGGCACTTAATCCACACACTCTGATCGAACGCAATGAGATGTCGTGATGTGTTGTCACCTGTTGAACTGTAGCAGGGTAGTTTCTGCCTCTGACTTAAACTCCCGTTTGGAGTGTAACCCGAAGTCTGATGGGTCTGCTTCCGAGAGGAAGGTAAGCAAGCGGTGGTGGGGAGGGTGAGTTCTCACTAGACAACTAAGCGTTTGGGGCTTGGGAAAGTGTCGATTGCACCACGTGCATGCTTAGCCCTCGCTGCATCTCAGAGTGCGCTCACCAGACCGTGCCGACGGGTGAAATTCTGATGCTGTTCTCGATGTCTGCACTTTCGACTCCATTCCTCGAGCATTGTCTGCTTGTTATGCAGGGCGGTTCATGGCTGCCCCTCGCAGGTTCAAGCTTGAGATGAACTGGAACCAAGAAGAGCTGGAGCAGTGGGCTATAGCCGCAAGGCAGAAGGAGGAGGACTTTTCGTGTCTGCAGATTCGGCGTTTTCCGAACGAGAACGGTAGAACTAAGCCAACTTAGCTGGATGAGCTGCATCCGAATATAGGTGGCTCCCTTGCATAGATACTGGTATCACCATGCCACATCCAACCCCAGACCTCGGGGCTATCCATCCCTGTAGCGTGACAGGACGAGCTGACGCTCGAGAAATACAGACGTGCTGATGATTCCAAGGCTCCTCTGTAAAGGGAGCGGGCATCCGAGCATGTGGAGCTTCGGATGCCAGTGCAGCTTCTTTAGGATGTTGGTGCAAAGCGAGGGGACCAGTTCAGCAGCTTCAGTGCAGCTCGTGACTCTAGGATTTCGGCCGCAGCACAGTGACTGCCGCAACACAGCCAGAATGCTCAGCCATGAAGTTCCGAATGCCTTAGACCTCCGAGTCTCCGATGCGTGGCTACAGGGTGTGCCAGGTTGTTTGGGAACTTTCGTGGGTTAAAAAAGCACTTCATCTCCGGCCAAGGCTCTTCAACTCTAGATCAGCGCTCAACCCACTCCAGATCCAGTGTCGTTCTTGGCTTTCCTTTTCAAGCAGGTGCCCCAAAAACGATACTTCTCAACGAGCAACATTCGAACCGACGATTCCTGCGAGTGAGAACCTTGGTCATGCTGCGCAGAGAGCCATCCCCTGATGCGCAAACTGGCAGCGAGAGTCCTCCTAGACATGTCTTGCGTTTGCTCGCGGGCTCTCCGCAGCTTTGCAGCGTCAGGAGCAGCCCAGTATTACTACTACTGTTGCTGTCACTGTTACTAGTACTATCACTGATACTCTTACGATTACCATTACTATTACTATTGCTATTGCTATTCTAGAACTTTTACTCTTACTATTACTATTAGCGCCATGGCCGCCATGTTCCTGCGGCTGTTCCCGGTGCTTGCGCCGCTCCTGGCCTTCGGCAAGGAACAGCTCCGGGCCTGGGGGGAACGTGCGAGGAGTCCTTGTGTTAAGGGATTTAACTTAAGTTACCATCATGTAGGGATCTATAGTAACTTAAGTTAGCATAACATAGGGATCGATAGTAACTTAAGTTACCCTATTATAGGGATCTATAGTAGCTTAAGTTACTATAATATAGGGATCTATAGTAAATTAAGTTACCATAATATAGGGATCCATAGTGAATTAAGTTAGCATAACAGAGGGATCTATAGTAACTTAACTTAGCATAGCATAGGGATCTATAGTGAATTAAGTTAGCAAATATAGGGATCTTTAGTAAATTAAGTTACCAAAAATGGGATCTAAAGTATTTCAGTTACCATAATAGGGATCTATAGTAACTAGTGTAAATGGGGAAACGGGGTTCTTGTTAAGGGAGTTAATTTAATTTACCATAATAGGGATCTATAGTAAATAATATGGCTTCCTTATTATGGTATCCTAAATTCAATCCCTTCAGAAGAACCCAGGAAAGTGCGGAGTTGGGGGCGGTCGGTGGGTGTGTCTGTATGTCTGTAAAGGAGACGATGATACGATGTCGGGCAGATGTCTTGGATGCGATTGTCTACAATGCTGTACGAGTTGACATGACTCAGAGGTCCTGAGTGTTGTTTTTTGGCCACAGATTCCGAAGGGAGTCACCCCTTACACCCTGACAGGAGTGCCACGACTTCGACGCTTGGTCAGCTTCTGATGTACCGCCTGCGAATATGAAGCACCCGTGCACCTGCATGTCATGCCCAAGCGTCTGAAAATGTAAAGTTCTTGCAGGTCCCTTTGGAAAGGTTACGGGGGAAAGATGTGAGCTTCGTGAGGATGCGCACTGCTGTCACATCAAGCCTTCTGATCCGGACTATGGCCAGTTCAAGGCTTTGGCTTCGGGTCTGGCTGTTGCGCAGCGTTGTCTCGGGCCAATAGGGATGCAATTGGGGGCATGCAGCTGATTCAGAGCTTTCGGCCGGATGGCAAGGCGCTCCGGCCGAGTAGTCTCGACCTTTCCTCCTGCCCCCTGTTTGCAGGGCAACGCAAGCCACATGGTGCCCGGCTGGGTGGCAGGACCCCCAGCTTTGTCGAAAGGTAAAGTGTGCAAGGCTTTTGGTTCTCCCACTGCTTGCCGGCCGTTGTCATCTCGAAATCCGTTCATTGAACGGGCAGTCCACTCAGGTCGTCGACTTAGACCTTCCGCCAGAGCAGCGCTGGGCTGCTGCCATGAAGAACGCAGCGGAGCCCCTGAAGCCACGCGGTGAACGATGGGTTTGGGGGTTCAGGAATTTGGCTCAAGTGAGGCCGGAAGGGTAAGTTCCAATTGGCGCAGGTTCTGGAGTGGCATGATGAACAGTGACTTTCAAGCATTTTTGCCGCAGCTGCAACTCATCGTCGTTCCGGCTTAACCAGCCTTTCCACACATTAGCTCACAGCCGGGCTCAACGGAACACTTTTGCACCCTCCGCCTGGTCCCACCCAATACGTGCGAACAGCGGCGCCCCAAACTTGTTCGAAATACCCCGAGCCCAACATCTTGATTCCTTGAACAAGGAAGATGATCACTCACTTCAAGTCCTTCGTGGGTCACTTCGGCAGCACCCAGAGTCATGTGGGGTGGGGCTGGAGGTGATCCATATCTCTGGACGAATAGGCAGAGTTGCTCGTGTTGTTGTTGGTCTTGTCTCATTTTAGACGTTTAGACGCAAGCCAAGACCTCAGCCTACCCACTCAAAAAAACTCTTGTCGCAAGCGTTGGGTTTGGGCCTTGGCTTTTGAAAGCTTAAGGTGGGGTAGAAGTACTCTGGAGTGTTACGCTTCTGGGGTCTTTATGCTGGGCAAGTGTGATAACAGACGCCGCATTCATGCATGCTCGTAGTTGTACAGCCCAGGCGTGCTGTCCGAGGAACTCTTCAAGCTCATCGAGGCCATGCGATTTGGCCTGTGGCCCCCAAAGCGCGTTGAGCTCTCCTTGTCCGGGGCTTCAAAGGCAAAACATCTTGAGCCCCTCTGAAGTCTTCGTGGGTTTTGGATGCTTTTAGCGCGATGCGGAAAAGAAACTCCGATCAGCATCCAGGGGAATGGAGAGCAAAGGCAGGGGCTCTTCTCAACCTGCCAGGACTCACCGAAGTTCAAAAAGCTGGCCGAGCAGGTCTTGACGGACATGGGCCGGAAGCTCGGTGGGAGGAGAGGCTCAGATCTCTTCGACTGCGAGCTTCGTAGTCTCTTCTTTTCGAAACCCTAAACCCTAAACCCTAAGCACCCTAAACCCTAAACCCTAAACCCGAAGGCATCGGAGAGGGACTGAAACCAACTGGAGGCCTTGTCACCTAGGAGGGGAGTACGGGAGTACTAGGCCATGCTTAGGCTAAGCAGCTCCTGGAGACGCCGAGGCGAGTACGGCCTCGAGATGCGCGGCATTGCCAATGCCACAGGCGCTGGCTTTTTTTTTAAGTTTCTGGGAATGTTTTCCGACCTAGGAATGAGTGCTGTGCTCCGTGCATGAAGTGGAAGATTGATCTCTTGCATGTGCTAAGCTGTCGTGCGCTTCATAGCGAATTCTACAGAGAAAACTCCCCAGGATTCGTGCAGCTGTCGATGTTGCTTAACATCAATCCTCAGTCCTATCCTTGAGGAAAGAGGATTCTGTAAGAGGAGAAGCAGTCAGATCCTCCTTGAAGTACCCAAGAGGCATCTCCGAGGAGGAGATTTTGTTCGTCAACATGATGCTGGAAGCTTACTCGGCTTACTCTTCCCGGAAAGGGTTTGTGCTGGTAGTGATCTCGGCAGCAAGGCCCCACCCTTCTCCCAGGTATGAGATTGAGGGAGGGTGCACCTCCATCGTCGCCCAAGATGCAGATGGCCATGTGGTACATGGCAGGACAGGCGATGCTCCAAATGCCGTTGGAACTGACTGCGGTTTGGCTGTTGATTTTGGCTTTGGCAGTGCTTCAGGTGTTTGTCAGATTGTCATGACTTGCATCATCCTGACCCAAGATGGCTTTTTGCAAGCCTCTACAGGTCCAAGGAAACACATGCTGACGCTTGCTGGAGCACTCGAAAATGACAGTTTGAGACAATGGAGGGCACTAAAGGCCACTAAAGGCCACGTTTCTAGAAGGGTTGCCCAAGAAGGAACCCCTAATCACATGGACCCTCGTGCTCACCGCGCTCCACTGTCAACAACGACAGCGCAAGCAGGAATTTGGACTTCGGGCTTTTTTTCGGCTCGGGCCTCGATGCCGTCGATGCTCAAGTCTCTATCGCAATGTGCGGAATTGGGTCCATAAATTGCTGCATCGTTTCCTGCATCTTGATGTGCCGTCGCAACACGGCTTGCTGTATTTCCTAAATGCTTAGTTGTTGTTGATCGTTGGAAGGTTGTCGCATAGTGTAGCACATTATCAGACCACTAGAAAGAATTAAGACGCACGTGCATACATAAAAAAGCATGTGCACACCTGTGTGTATTTCGTATTTGCGCTATGCACGTGTGTGTATGTACTTTAAGTAGGTACCAGTCCGTGCTATGTCTGTGTGTGTGTGTGGGGTGTTTGTTCTAACATTTTTCTCTCGTTTATGGCAGGGAGGTGGCTACTGTTACTAGACTGGTATCATGATGTCTCAGCGTTCATGTTGTTCATCTGTCCTCATACATCGCTATCAACCTGCTGTGATCTGTGTCACTCGGGTATCTCGGGTATCAGACATTCAGCATGGGACGACGTTGCCATGAGGATTTCGCTTGCTTCATGTTACCCACTGTTCTGTATCCAAGCACCAGCAGTTACGGTGTTGTTGTAAGTCTTGATCATCACTTGCTAGCCTTTGATACAGTCTGCATGATCCTTCCGGCCTTTGTCCGGAGGCGAAGACTGGAAGCATCTGCAGTGGACGCTGACAGAGGAGCGCCTGAAAGAGGTGAAGCGATCAGAGGCGAAGAGCTTCGACTCCCTGCTTTGGGCCCCCCCCCCACCCCCTCCGGGCCTGCCGGGGTCCCGAACGCATGGAAGTCGGAAGCCTCCAAGGAGTCGATAAAACCCCAAGAGCCCGGCAAGTCGGGGCTTGTTCGTTGGAGATACTTTAGGTATCGACTTGGAAAAGGACTTGGGGAAGATTTGCTGAACATTGAGCGAAGTAGGGTCGGTAAATAAGTACGTGTGACCTTGTTGTTGCGTACCTGTAAAGATCCCTGGAATCCTCATAGATCCTTTGCAAACAAAGCCCGAGGACCTGCGGCCCCTTCTTCGCAACGTCCACTTCGTGCGGGGAAAAACTTCGCTCTATGACTCCACCGTCTTCCTGGGCTTCTTCCCTAGCAAGGGTCTGTCGTAACGTGCAATTTAGGGCAGGGGTCTTTTGATTTCCAAGACGGCGGCACAACTTTGTGAAGGTTTTAAGCTTTGTGGCTCCGCAGATATGTACAATAAGCATGTAGTGAGATTTTGAACAACGATGAGCTCCGCGGAGATTTCCATAGCGGCTTCAATTCATGCCATGCTGTGCCACCAGGGCACCAGGCCGTGACCATCACAGTCTGATTTAGCGACAGCGGATCAGCTGCAAACAGTTCTGACAGTCAGTGTACTGCCCCACCTGCCACAAGGCTATGTCGGAAGCTTGACTGCCGTCAAGAAGGGAGGCTTCTCCGTCACCGTGAACACGAGGCAGGGACGCGTCCGATCCACGTGAGAGGTACAGGTGCCTGAAAAAGATGGTTTAATTATGAGAATGATTCTTCTGCGTGGTGATGATGACAGTGATGACCATGAACAGCAAGATGCACATTGCGATGGAGTTGCTGTTGATAGCCATCATGCTGATGATGGCCACGAGAACGGTCATGATGATCATGATGAGAATGGTGGTGATGGAGATGGGTGACGGTGGTTGAATGGTAGCGAGTTTTCGGTGATGGCCGTACAGATGCTGAACGCGAGGGTTGCACGAACATTCTATTCTACTGCTGCTGATGATGATGATGATGGTGGTGACGAGATTGACAGCAGCAGGAATACTATTCTTTCGTAACAACACACGTGCTAAGAAAGCAGAGTTGGCGCAGGTATGACAGCACCCACTGGGCGGCCTTGCTTGCCTTCCTTGAGGGCAAAGGCTCTGGCAACTTCTTGTCCTTGCGCCTCAGCAGAGAGTCTGAGAGGGGGAGGATGCTGCAGTCCTTTGATTTTGAGGATTGAAGGTGTGAATGATGGGTGCTGTTGCTGTCGTCGCACATCAGTGTCCCCGTACGTCCTCTTGACAAGCTGGGCCAGACATCTGCTTGAGAAACAGAAGGTCTACAAGCAACATCACAGCTGCAACTGCATGCTCGAAGTCTGAAAGCTGGTGGCCTGAACAAGATCCCTGCCGTAGTCGGCTGCCTGCCAAGGCCGAAAAAGTAAAACCGATTGAGTGCAAAACAGCCGCATGCAAGAGAACAAGCTGCGGCGTACTGCGGCTCTTGGCACTCTGAGTTTCCCGCCTTGCATCTATAGCATACCAAGGCTTCTCCGCGAAGTCTTTGTGCCTCGGCCCGAAATGTAAAAAAAAGTAAATCTGCAAGAGGTCGTCGGGAGAGCTCCCGATTTTGCCACAGGTTATTTTCGGGAGCTTGTAGACGCTACATGCCTCTGAGGCATGGGGAGCTGAAAGGCAGATATGCCCAGGATTAGCGGAGTTTAGGGTTCAGGCTGCTGCGGGTTCCGCGTCTCAGGAAGTAGTTCGAGGTTTCAGCAACTTGGTTTGGCCTTGTTGAAAACCCTTCAAACCCTGAACCCGAGTCACCCAAACGCCAGCTCTTGCATCTTTTTCTGGGTCCTTGTTGGATACAAGTTTACATTTTGGTTGCAATAAAACTCACTAAGGATTAAACATGGATCATTCTTTAATATAGCCCCAATACGGGGAGCCAGTTTTGAGCCTTCTCCAAGGTTCACAACTCCACTTACTCGGAGGCCCGCTGCATACGTGGACGTTGCAACGCTTCCAAAGACCCCTGATATCCGTCACGATGCTCAGATGTCGGACTTTCCTCAGATATATTATACCATATTGTATATATATATATATGGGTGT